TTGCCCGATAGACAGTTCACGGGGGTCGGGAATTTGCCTTTCATGTGCACGGGGGCCGGGTATTAGAGGACCCCGGCGAATTGACAAATGGTTGACCAAAATCCCACGCACAAATTTTAAGGCAGCAAAACCTGGTTTCAGGCACGCATGTGGGCGCGCTGATCGTATTTTACGCCCTCATGGTCAAGGTGGCGTGAAATTTATTGTAAGAATAAGCAAAAATTATACCCTGTGCCATGCAAATTTAAATACAACTATTAAAGGTTTATGTTTTATAATATTCTATTGCAGATTAATACTATAATGTTATTAAATGACTATGACTATATGCCATTAAAAGTTTAATTAACTTTTACAGTCGATTTCAAGGAGTGGGTCATTTTCCACTCTCAACTTGCCCGAGGGCCGTGCATTAGTCTTCAAGTTGTGTCCCGGCACCCGGGCATTTACACTATCATAACCAATCAAATCAAATACCCGGGTGTGTTCCCGGGGGGGGAGGTGGTTACTCCTGGAATTGACTCATGCATAATATTTTATCGCCACAGTGGTATGACAACACAATTTCTAGCTTGCTTTCCAATTGACCATTTGCGTAATAGACTAAATTTTGATCTAAACAAGTCTAGACAAAAATTTCATCACAGCTTGATAGAGCATCACAAAATTAGTAATATTCCAAAGTTTCGTTGCGAAATGTTGTAAAATGTGGAAAATATAGCGTTGCGAAGTTTGCAATTTTCAGTCATTTTAGATTACAAACGGGAAATTGACAGCCTTAAAGGGTTTGGGGTTTGACAGCCTCAAATGGTCAATTACGGAGGCAGAATATGATCGAGCAAACTTTTAAAGGGAAGTAAGTAGTTCATTTATTATTTATGTTTAACCTTGATCGACCAGAAGGTTCAAAACTTTCAATTATCCATCTTAATAAGCCTTTTAACAAAATATATAACAGTAATCAGTACATGTCTTTAAGTACTTTTAGTTCTTGTTTTTATTTGTTATTCTGTTAAACTGGAAGACCATCTTAATAAAGCTTTCTGTAGAGTGAATCAACTTTTATATTGCAGTTGAATTTTGAACTTTCAGTTGCAGAGTGTATATTGTTAAGTTTTTTTAGTACAGACACTCCAGAGGCTGAGAGTATTGTTCATTAATTTTGATCATTCATTTATATATATATATATATATATATATATATATATATATATATATATATATATATATATATATATATATATATATATATATATATATATATATATCAAAAGGAAGACAATACCATCTTAGGTCCAAACATTACTGCAATAAATTTCAAAATCAAACAAAATATGACTAGCTATGAGCGAAATTAACATGTTTCAAAATTGCAACGACTGCAGGGTCTGAAATTTGATTTTTTTTTAAGTATCCACATGGATACCAAGGTTTTAAAATTTGGTATCCCTCCCGATAATCCAGTATCCTAAATCTGGATACTTAACTAGTTGGCTTTTCGTATCCCACAGGGCCAGACCCAACATCACTCTAAGGCTTACTCTTAGTCAAGCATTTTCATCCATCGCATTTTATGTTTAATATACTAGAATCCTAAAAGGAACTTATACAGTTCAAATGTTCAATTTCTTAACAGTTAACAGGGTTATTTAATTATAAATTAAAGTCTAAGTGTCAACTTCTCTGATTTTTAATGCTATCAGTATGCACTCAAATGGGAACTACAGTGTCATTATCATCATCATTGGCTGTATTATCATGAAGACCATTGCCTGCATCAGGAGTTTTGGTGGTTTTAATTAAATATTTTTTACATAATATCACAAGAAAGCATGGATTATTTATGAGTATTTTAGTTCATGACGGCAGCAAAAAAAATGTATTTCTACTTTGCTAACTATCGACCTTCAAATTTCCTTACAATCTTCTTGACTTTTCTTCTCGTGCTCGCGAATACCGCCTGCTACGCAGGCTAGACTTTTCTTGACTTCAAAAAGATTCTTTTCAATGAAATGTGGACAGTTGTTTCAATGTGGAAACACTATTCAAAATGGCGACTCGCGAATTCAACCATGAGTGGACTACATGCATAAATACAACGTTAAGACGAATGCTAGACTTGTGTTACAGCACTATTTAATGAACAAAAATGTGGGGAGACTACTAAAACATTAACTGCTATCCCGTTTTTTAAAAAAATGTGGTATCCCATCGGGATACAAGTAAAATAAACTTAGTATCCAAAACCAAATTTCAGTATCCCGTGGATATCGGGATACCGCAAATTTCAGACCCTGATATATATATATATATATATATATATATATATATATATATATATATATATATATATATATATATATATATATATATATATATATATATATAGTGTTTATATATATAGTGTTTATATCGTTCACTCGGTAATATAAGGAGAAAATGTTCTCGAGTGAGATATTTCATAATTTCGAGGCTGCGCAAGCAGAAACTGACTCTGCCAGTCACGGCTGGGTTTCGAACCCGCGACCTTCGAATTACTATAGATCAATGCTTTATACCAACTGAGCTACACGGTCAGGATGGATTGAAGACTGGAAATTATGTCTTCGGGTTCGAAACCCAGCCGCGATACAAAAAAGTAATAATACTAATACTATATAATTATTTGGGTTTATACCGAATAATGGTTCACTTCACTATATACTAACATGTAATATCTGTTTAGAATTCCTGAAAACTTTGTTGATGAGATTATGAAGAATGTATTTAATAAGAGGTAATGTATACAGCTATTTCAACCAAGGTTGTCCACGAGCAAAGCGGAAAAGTCGAATACGAGCGCGAAAGGCTAATGGGAATCGCTAACAAAAGCCCCGTTTACACGTACGACAGTCATTTTGGGTACGGCACGCTTAAATTTTGGCACGCGGACCCACGCTTTTTGGTCCGCCTGTTGCGTTTACACGACGAAATTTTTGCTCTAAAAAATTTGGGTTCGGCCCGCTTAAACTGGGAACGGCACTCTTACATATCTGATCTATTCAGCTGTAACTTTTTGGTGTAGCGAAAAGTGTATCAAACTTTATTCCGAGCATTACATTTACATTTTATTTTTACCAATTTTCTCAACTTTTTTCCCAAGTAAAATAAGCAGAAACTATATTTTTATTGAGATAGTTTAAGTTTCCGAAAATTTGTATTGAAGTATTTCCATTTCTCTGCTCAGACCAGATAATTATTAACATTTTCGTAAAAAATACAAAGTTTATGTATTTCCATTTGCAATTTTATAAACTCATATAAACCTAGCAAAATACTTGTTGGTTCTTGGAAAGCCATTATATGAAAGTGTTTTAATTTTCTAAGCTAGATATTTCATTGACCTTCATGGGGATAAACAACTTTGTAATAAAGCAAAAAAGTCATATTATAACACCGCGTCTTTCTAACTAAAACATGCAACACTAAAACATGCAACACTAAAACATGCAACATTAAAACATGCAACACTAAAACATGCAACACTAAAACATGCAGTAATCTCGCATAAACTGGCTGACAAGCAGTGAAACAATTTAATTTCAGAATACTTAAACTGATACTTAGATATTCTGTTTTATTTCGTTGAAAACTTATACTACAACAATGATTCGCTGCAGGCTCACTGCCTGATTATGGTGAATGTTGACCGATAGCACTTCGCCCTCGGCGAATATTGATTGTTAATTACGAAATAACAATAATATAATCTTCACCATTACATATATCAGCATTGCTTAAAACTGCTTAAATGGTTCCTTTTCTCTTCGCTTTGCTGTGGGCTTTGACTTGAGTATAGCAAGAATACCAGTTGAATAGCTTCTAATTTATATGCATGACCATGCATAATATATATCGGAGCTCAAATACAAATATGGCTTCGTCTGACCACATTTTTCCCTCGATATATTTTGTTTGTACAGACACAATATTTTTGCAATGTGAGAAACAAAACGCGTGTGTAACAAGTTTTTGGTCCGCGGACCCATTTTTAGGCGGGCCGAGACTACCTCCTGAGGAGGACTCGGCCCGCTTAAAATTTTGGGCCCGCGGACCCTTAATTTTGCGTTTACACGACAAAAATTAGGAGTGCCGTGCCCCCAAAAAATGGGTCCGCGTGCCAAAATTTCAGCGTGCCGTGCCCAAAATGACTGTCGTGTAAACGGGGCTCAATTAATGAATTTTCAAAGCGGTTCTCAGCAGCCTTTCGCGCTCGTATCGTTTTCGCTTTGCTCGTGGACAATGTGTTGTATTTTAGAATTTGGGACTAAATGTTCGTTTTGGTGTAGTTATACAATAACCGCAAATGAAGTATCATGCATGCAGATTTTTGTTGTATATTATTTTCCTTTTATCTATATAATATTTATAGTATTTTTTATTATAGCTATATTCTCTTAATGCAATTTCGGGTTATTTTTCCAATTTTATAGTTTGACCAGCATGGAAACTTGTGCTTTCAGTAACAAGATAAGATTGCCAGGACTACAGTCGTTAAAATGGAGAGTAGATGTGACCATATCAACCAGGTGAACCATGATAAATTATTTACCGGATTTGCATTTTGTAAGCGGATTTAGAAGCAAATTTTCTCGAGCAATTTGCTCGTGCCTGTAGAGTAATTTCAGCTTAAATTAAATATAGTCCATAGTGACTTTAATTGTTTCGATGATGCGATGTTTCCCGAAGTAAACCTTATACGAAATTCGATTTTGAATATTAAAAGTAAAATAGCAAAACTTTTACAGTACAGTTGTTTTTCTCACTCTCAACCCGCATGCTTGTAATCCCCAATCTCCCTTTGTGTCCGTTCTTCCACGCGTATAGTTCGCGTGTTTCGCATGTACTATTGTACCCGAGTTAATATTTATCAGTTATAGACCTGAAACGAGGGGTATTCCACAAAAAATTACCCTGAGGGATGAAATATCATCCCGCAGGGTAATTTTTTGTGGAATACCCCGAGTGAAAGGTCTATAAATGGTATATTATACCGAACCTTTCAAAAATAAGTAGAAAACAAATACCATTCAATTAACTTTTAATTTCAAAACACAACTTTTGATAACTTTACATTTAAAAAAGTCGAATTTCCCGCTCAAGCGTGGTATTCGAAGTCGAATACCATGGCCCCGGGTAAAACACCCAGGGTTCAAATTGCCTAGGTCATAGTATTCGCTGAAAAATACCAAGGTCATGTGGTACAAATTTAGTTCTCTGATTGGACAAGCTCATTGTGAGGTATAATATATCTCTATATAATATTTTTTGTTCTCTCTCGTGGGTATTAAATAGCTCACTTAACCGGGTACTGGTGCCAACCGTCTTTATGGAAGTGAAATCAAGTGATGGCAGTACAAAATCTTTTGAGGTGAGAAATTACATGCATGATTGCAGTTAGTTGTTTCGTGGATTTATAGATTGATCATAAGTTTAATTGTCAATGATTTGGTGGGTTATTGACTATAATACTGTAGCTGATTTACCGATTCAATAATTATTGACGTTTTATTGTTTAATTGATTGTATTAATTAACTTTGACTGATTGAGTGTTCAATTGATCGATCAATTGGTTGACTAACGGCCAGATATCACGGACATAATGAACATTCTATACTTTCCTAACTGTAATCCCCGAGCCAACGCGCCATTCCGGGCGTAAGCCTAGGGCGAGGGTGCTGATTCCGTTCGACTATTTACCAATGCTATTTACACACGGAAAAAGGAAACCTTTAAGCCTGGTTCACATATGCCTGCGGTATGCCTGCGACTGTATCATTATGCCTCTACTTGCCGCCGAAATACCGGCAAAGTTGAACTCAAGTCAACTTTCCCGGCCTACCGCCGATGTAACTGTGGCACTGGAGGCAATCGGTGAACAAATATTCACATAATTCACG